CCTCCAGAGGCAGATTATTCAGATTTTCATTGGTAAAACTAAGTTCTATTGAAGGATATTCTATTGGAATCATTGATTTTCTATTTGTTCTAATTGTTCATCTTGTCGATTTCTGTTTCTGTTTATGATCAATCTGAAACCTAGAATGGATTTAAGAATGATCATGAACCTTAGTGAGTAATCACCTTTGAATTCATGGGTTAGGGAGACTAAGGGTGATTAGGTTAGAGTCAAGATGTTTTACGTGTAGATTCTTCCTGTTCCTTGCATATTAGAGTAATCTTAAAGCTTTCTTTGAACTGATCATTCAAAGGTTGATCTCTAGACATTTCCCACTCAAAAGGTGTTCGATGAAATNTCATTTACCTTCATAGTTAAAGTCATATCGTTTATTTACATTTTAGTTTTAGTTCACTTTAAAACCAACCAAACATTCGATTGCACTTAGATTAAGTTAGTACTTGCATTCTCATCGCTTTTACTTCCCTCAGAACTGGTTCGACAACTTACTTCACTATACAACATTTGACTAGGAGCCTTGAAAACTCCTAACACCAGGAAGTCTTTTTTTTTTATCAAACATTGGAAGTCCTTTATATGTTAGAGTAACAACATCGCTCGTCCCTAAGCCCATTTCTTATGGATTTGGGTTTAAAAATAAATCGAAATGGATAAGAAACATTGAGAATGTCCCTAAATTAAGAGACGAAACGGGCTCGTCCCCGGGTGACGTGGCGAAATCATGACCGTTTGGTCTGTTTTCATCGAATGGTTTTGGACGAAGGGGAGTCGATAGACGCGTTTAATGTTTTCTCTTCTCTCTTTCTCGATCTAACGATAGACGAAGCTTCCAACGGCGACGACGAAAGGTGATAACACAGTCAAAAGGTATATGTTCCTCACTGCTTCTTGTGTTTTTTCGATTCTCAATTTCTCCTCTTCTCTCTTTTTTATGATGAAGATGGAAGGAGACACGGTAAGTTTTATATTACCTAAGATACAGTTTAAAGTTTTTAGCAATAATCTGCATTTTTGGTAAAATCTCTTAGCTTTGTTTCTTAAGTTAAAAAAAACTAATAAAATAACTTAAGGGACTTCTAATTGTCTTTAGCAATAATGTTGCCCTTATACTCGGACATGCCATTTGGGCCTGCGGAGATTATCTTAATTGGGTTTACTTAGTATGAAAATGAGTTATCTTATTGTTTTAAGTATGGGCGTTTGGTTAAATCAACAAATTTGTATAATATGACCAGTCAATAGCGTAATTTCCTGACAAATTGTCCTACTTCCGTACGTATACGTGTATATTAAAATACGTTGGTTGAGACCAGTCATTTTCCCTTACCCAAAAACATCACTGTATATAATTGCAAGCAAATGTTTACAACAATAAAATTAAAATATACAAGACTTAATGACTGGCTAAGCAACATGTTACGTACTACTGCAAAGACAGTTTTCGGAAATCAAATATTAGCTTGGTAATCTTTTTAGGGGTTGTCCGAATGTGTGTTAATATCGAAATATTACTGGGACAATCTTCAAAATCTATGAACAATTGACCTATTTACTCGTATAATAAGTAAGGTCTCAAGATCTTAAAACTTGGTTTAACGACAAATAATTTACTTAGTTTTCCTAAAAGAAGTTAATGCCTTTGAGTTGAGGATATATTGTGAAAAAGCTTCGTTATGAGTTCGATGGCTTTTGGGATAACAAAACAAGTATTGGTATGCATCTAGAAATTTTCTTGAATTGGAGAGACCTAAACCGAAATATTCGTATTTTATAATATTTTATGGTAAAATGGAAAAGTCAAAAATGTTAATTTAAAGCTCAGATATCAACTTCGAAGGTACTCCATGTTAATAACAAACGCAACGCTGATTCACCAACGTCTTTCAGAAAGTTGCTTAAAAGCCTTCTTCTTCGATTATATAATTTCATTTTTTTCTTAATAATATTGTTTAATCCGTTTTCCACATTGAATTCTCTTCTATAGAGCTAAGAAATAATATTTTTATATATTTTGAGAGAGATTCACCAACCTCTTGTTTGCACTGACATTATATAAGCATATGTAAGCAGCCACGATATCTTCAATACAATCTCTATAACAAAGAACAATAATAGTTTTAGTACAAACAAAATCTCCTCATTGCATATAGCGGAAGTTTGAACCGGAAATGAAGATAATCCGAAACCCGGGTTTTCTCTTTCTTTTCTTTTATCTCCTTGGGTTTCTTGGCGATTCTCCGGTGGATGGGGCTGTAAAGAAGTACCAATTTGATGTACGTATTCGATTTCCTGATGAACATAAACTATACTGGTTTGACTAAACCAGTTTATATAGTTGAGTTATACTACTAGGTATGTAGGGTTTTGTTGTTTACTAACGTTTGGACTTTGGAATTTGGAACAGGTTCAAATGAAGAACGTAAGTAGGTTATGCAATGCTAAACCGATTGTCACAGTCAACGGAATGTTCCCTGGACCAACGGTTTACGCAAGAGAAGGTGATCGAGTTATTATCAACGTCACCAACCATGTAAAATACAACTTGTCCATCCATTGGTAATGTCTCTCTTTCATACGTCTCAAACCCGTTTAGTCATATTTTTATGAGACAAAATTTATAACGTTTTGTTATTTTTTGTAGGCATGGTCTTAAACAGTACCGGAATGGTTGGGCGGATGGTCCAGCATACATAACTCAGTGTCCAATGCAGACCGGGCAGAGTTATGTGTATGATTTCAACGTGACTGGACAACGTGGGACTCTCTGGTGGCATGCACACATCCTTTGGTTACGAGCCACTGTGTATGGTGCTATTGTCATACTGCCTCAACCAGGAAAACCATATCCTTTCCCACAACCATACCAAGAAACCAACATAATTCTCGGTCAGTGAATCTAAATAAAACCGGTTTGGTCTATTTTACCGGGTTTTTTCTCACTATTTGTTTATAGGAGAATGGTGGAACGGAGACGTTGAGACAGCGGTTAACCAAGCCAACCAGTTGGGTTCACCGCCTCCGATGTCAGATGCTCATACCATAAATGGAAAACCAGGACCGCTCTTTCCATGTTCCGAGAAACGTAAAAAAAATTCTTAATCTTATAAAACCGGTTTTAACCGGATCGGTTCTTTTTAGTTAAACCATTTATTTCTATGTAGATACATTCGTGGTGGAGGTAGAAGCCGGCAAAACATACCTTCTAAGGATCATTAACGCTGCACTAAATGACGAGCTGTTCTTCGGGATAGCCGGTCACGACATGACCGTGGTAGAGATCGATGCAGTCTACACTAAACCATTCAAAACCAAATTCATATTAATCGGACCAGGTCAAACCACAAACGTTCTAGTCAAAACCGACCGTTCTCCAAACCGTTACTTCATGGCAGCTGGTCCGTTCATGGACGCTCCAGTAACCGTAGACAACAAAACCGTAACAGCTATTCTTCAATACAAAGGCGTACCAAACACGGTTATACCGATCTTACCAAAGCTTCCATCACCTAACGACACATCATTTGCTTTGGACTATAACCAAAAGCTTAGGAGTCTCAACACACCAAACTTTCCAGCTCTTGTTCCTTTAAAAGTCGACCGTAGATTGTTCTACACGATCGGGCTAGGCATTAATGCCTGCCCAACATGTGTGAACGGGACTAATCTCGCAGCTTCCATAAACAATATCACGTTCATTATGCCTAAAATCGCGCTTTTGAAAGCTCATTACTTCAACCTCCCGGGAGTTTTTAGGACAGACTTCCCTGATAGACCGCCTAAAGCGTTTAACTACACCGGTGTGCCACTCACGGCTAACCTGGGGACATCTACGGGGACAAGACTAAGTCGAGTTAAGTTCAATACGACAATTGAGCTAGTTTTGCAAGACACAAATCTCTTAACCGTTGAGTCACATCCTTTCCATCTTCACGGCTACAACTTCTTTGTGGTTGGAACCGGTGTTGGAAACTTTGACCCCAAGAAAGATCCGGCTAAATTTAATCTCATTGACCCGCCTGAGAGAAACACAGTTGGAGTACCTACCGGTGGGTGGGCAGCCATCAGATTCAGGGCTGATAATCCAGGTATGTTATATCAATGCACATATATGATGAGAATGATCACATATATATATGATAAGCAGCTCAACTGATCAAGGCATATGTTGTTGTAGGTGTTTGGTTTATGCATTGTCACTTGGAAGTCCACACAATGTGGGGTCTAAAGATGGCTTTCGTAGTCGAGAACGGGAATACACCTGAGCTTTCAGTTTTACCACCGCCCAAGGATTATCCATCATGTTAAAAATCTGAAACCGGAACACGTTTACTTGCTTCTCGTCCTATATATTCGTTTTAAGTTGCTGATAAAACATTCTTTGTTAATTGTATTATCCTTTGTGTTGATTTGTGTGTTTGAGATTATTTCATGTGGGGGTTGAACAACAACAAGACCCCATAATTTGCATAAGAAATGTATCTAAATATTTTCCAACAAGACCTCTTGTTTATAGTTTCACAGCTTCTACAATAAGTCAAGAACATAAGAACCTGAAACCATCCAATTCTCAATGGTGATAACATATGAGCCTGCATTCAGTTTGAAACCTGAGAAAGATTTGTATAAAAAAATATTTAAAAATGAATTTTAAAATATCCTTATTTAGTGCCATGAATTTATTATTTATAAAAAAATTATATTTTCAATGTTTATTGAAAATATTTGAAGTTCTGAATTTTACTAGGTTTCTAATGACTTTAAAATGTTTTTAGTTACAAAATAAAAAATACAAATGACATATTTTAAAAAATAGCATTGTATAACGATATAAACAAAATCATTGCAAAATTTAAAATTCACATAAATCATAAAATAAAATTACTTCAAATTGTAAACTTTTAAATTGTAATTAAACTGAACTAAACCGACTCTACTCTACCCGTCTGATTAAACCGGTAAGTGACCCACAAAGGTTAACCAGAGAGAACCACATTTTGGAAATCCGTTTGTCGTTCTTCCTCGCTCGTCGCATCAAAATCTCCCAAGCTCCTTCTCCGATCTTCCTTGTTTCCCCCGAAAAGGTTTGTGTTATTGCTTAGTTTCCTCCCATTCAACCGTTACAAAATCGCAAAGTCGGTAGGTTAGTGATCTAGAAGATTTGCATTGTGATGTTTAGGGAGTCGTTTATTGAATCGATTAGAAACCCTAATCTGTGTTGATTATGTGATCTGTATCTGTAGGAGAATGGCTACAGCTACGTATCCGCCGCCGCCTCCGTATTACAGACTCTACAAGGATTACTCTGAAAACCCTAGTTCCGCTCCTGAACCTCCTCCACCAATTGAAGGAACCTACGTTTGTTTCGGTGGCAATTACACTGTGAGATCTCCCCCCCCCCTTCACATTTCCTCTTAATCAAAGCTTTCATCTTTGTGATTCAGTTGTGTTTTTTTACAGACTGAGGATGTTCTTCCAAGCTTAGAAGAGCAAGGAGTGCCACAGCTTTATCCTAAAGATTCTAATGTTGGTATGTTGATGAGAATGGTTTTGCTTAATTAATCCTTGTGATCTCAGCCTTACTCTCTTGCAAGTTATCTTGTTTTGTTGAAGAGGTTTTGATGGATCTTTGTGTAGATTACAAGAAGGAACTCAGGTCTCTGAATAGGGAACTACAGTTACATATACTGGAGCTTGCTGATGTTCTCGTTGAGAGGCCTTCTCAATATGCTAAGAGGATTGGTGACATATCTTCTATCTTCAAGAATTTGCATCACCTTCTCAATTCCCTGAGGCCTCACCAGGTAAAGAAGATCCCGTTGTTTTCATCTGTTTTGGTGTTTTTATTGTTTTTTTATTTATTTATCTTCTGTTGGTGTTCAGGCGAGAGCAACGCTTATTCACATTATGGAGCTTCAAATTCAACAGCGGAAGCAAGCTGTGGAGGACATTAAGAGGTTTGTAATGTTTTTCTTAAACTTCTCTTTCTTAATGGTATCTAGATCAATCCGTAAACTGTAAAGGTTCTTTAAAAACTTGTTGGAAGTTCTTATCTGTCCTTATGGGTGCTTCCAGTGTGTTGGGAAGATGAGATAGTGATAGTGTTGTTATGGTTGTGTGAAGGAGGAGAGAAGAAGCACAGCGACTTCTAAAGGAGGCTTTTGTCACTTTAGATGGAAATTAGAGTTTCGGTCTACTATGTAAAACCTCTTTTCTCTGTTTGACCCTCTAAGCTTTTTTTCTTTGTTAATTGTTAACACTAATCAAAGGTTAAACAGCACGTGATTTAGTAGATACAGTGTATCAGGATTGTAGTTACCAGAATTAACTGGTATTTGATCTCATTGGTTTCTCATATCGTCAACCCATAAGAAAAAAAGTATGAACGAGCCCATGGTACTCTAATGTTCGCCTAGATGATTGTGTACGCTACTTGAAACGTTTAGCCTTAAATCCAACCCATTTTACCATGACACTGTAAAAATCTTTTGTGAGTTCCATCGTTGACTCCTAGATCATAGTTACCAAAGCGTTGTATAAACGTTTAGACAATATACAATTTCTTATAGCTTTTATCAAAAAAAAATTCTTAAAGCTTTTACCACTTTGATTATGAAGGTCTCTATTGTCTTGGTTTTCGATTACTTCAAAAGGATTGTCTTAGCTGAGCACAGCGGATTCGAGTGTGTAAAACTCAGTTTAAACTAAGTGGTAAGAACAGTCTATTCGCTGAGATACTAGCTAACTATCTTAGCGTGTGATTGACCGCAAAAAATCTGGTCAATAATAAATTTGCTTGGGTGATGTAGCTGCACTGAAGCTGACATACGACGCATAAATAAAATATCTTAACATTTGAAAGGAACGTGTAGGAACATAAAGATACACGCGTGTTGCTCATGTAGTTTAAAAAAATCTTAGTGTTCTAGAAAATTCTTGTAGGTTTCATCGTTTATAGTTACGCAAACAAGAGAAAGTCGACAATAACCAAACATCGTTCATTATGGATCGTCCACCTGTCCACCATCCAAATCAACCAATCATTCTCTCTTTCTTTATATATATGTCATTGATCAATAACACTCTTCTGCAACACAAACGTAGCATCTTGAACTATTTCTACAATTTCAAATCTACCAATCGAATATGTGTTTCTTTGATAACCAGAGCGATCAAAATTTGAGTCTGGTGAAGATGGATGTGGCATGGTGGATGGAGGTGGCTCCTCCACGGATATTATCACCGGAGAAGCCATCTACTTCGCCCATTCTTGAGACGATTTTAGAAGAGCAAGAGACGGAAGAAGACGATGAAGAAAATGATGAGGAGGACTTTTAATGATCCATCTGATCTTTCGTCTTATTTTTAGATAGTTGTATTAAGCTATATATAAATGTATAAGATGAGATTTTGTATATTTGTAATGGTATCTCATGATAATATAATATATAGTTCATCTATTTCTCAACTAACTTATGATAAGAGTTCTGTGGAATTTTTCTTTGGAAATTTCACGTTATGTAGTTCGATGATCACTTCCTAATATCAGACAAACATTGGCTGCAACTGGATTACAAATATTTAGAAATGAATGATTTAGAATTCTTTATTTCATCAATTCGAAAATAATTTTTACCAATATAACTTGAGTGGAATGAAATAGTTAGTTATTCCCTCAATTCCACAAATGAATAGATTAAACTATAAATATATTATTCCACCAACAAATTTGATGGGAAATGAGTGGAATGAATGTATTCTAGTTTTCTTCGACATTCCATTCATATTTATTACATTAATGGTAATACATCAATTCGTAAACATATTTAAGTTCAAATTCGAACGGGGTCGACGACTATGTAATCTTCATCTGAACCGATACGGTACAAGGAATCAGGTCCAACTAATCAATTTTCATACAAACGAATAAATAAGAAGAAAAAAAATGAATTTTTTGTCTAAAGTCTATTCATCAACACATAGATGAATTTTCATAATAACCGGACAACAAACCAAAATTAAACGGGAAACTAGAATTACACATCCCTAGATCTGTTTGGTGAGATGATTTATCAACCACATGAGTTGAGTATAGTATTATCTTTCTCATGTAGGGCGGGCATGCATACGTGTCCGCAAAGAAAGCAGTATACGCGTCACTCATTGTTTTTACTAGAAGCGCGTCAATCTTTGTATGGAAACATAAGTATCATGTGCGACGACAAATTATACCGCGTCGTTCATTACATATTTCCCCACGTGAGTCACGTGACTTTCGCTCTACGTCTGTCGCATTCATACTAAACCACCATTAGCTCTCCCCATTAACACTCTTTACTACAAGATGATTACGACTCATCTTTTTCTATAAGTATCTCCAGTTTTCGATAATCACCACACTGAACTTCTCAGCAAAGTCGAAAACTAATAAATACTTATCAACTCTAATTCAAAACAGATTTCTTGGCTTCAATATTATTATTCTTGAAATGGCGAGGATGATAGGACCTTTGGAAGTTGTACCGGCGATTCATGTTTTCCCTGTGAGGGCTTCGCCTTCTTTGGGGACGATATATGAGGAAACAGATGACCAAAAAATCATTCATCACGAGATCGAAACTCAAGAGTTGTAGCTTTTGTAATTTTGTTTGTTTACCCCATTTTGTGAAATTCAAACTCACCATTGTGTCTTGATCATGTTTGGATGTTTTCAGAGTTCAAACTTCTTTTCACTGACATTATAGTAGTCATGAAATAAGATTTAAGATCATCAAAAATTGTCAATATGATAAAATATCACCTTTTTACGTTATAATGAACTTAGTAGATTAAATCATAACCTGATATTTAAGATATCATCATGTCTTAACTTATCAATAAAATATTTGCTGTATTATTAGGGGAGATATGACCAAAAGAAATGATTGGAATATTTAAAAAGAAAAGAAAGAAGAAGCAAACATTGACTAATTGGACTACCAAATCACACAGAAGATAGCTTTAACCAAACGTTTTCCACTATAACCACACAATTAATATACGCCTAACACATAATACTAATAGTAGGTTGAGAATAACTTTCCGACTCTCATAGACTTTTCAAATAGGGGGTACTAATTAGTGTCCTAATACTAACAATTATTTTAGTATTCGTTAAGAAAAAGACGTTTAATTGATTTAGCTTTAAATAATGACTGACATAGGCTTTGACTTGTTCCTCGTCTGTCTCTCAATTCCAGAGTTTTGACCATAACACCCAACTCCGATTTCACTCAAAAATCGATTAAATCTGAGTTTCGGAATCTGAGTCTCACCTCAACGGATGGGGAATCTTTGCTGCTGCATCAGAAGAGATGTCGGAAGAAGGAAGAAGTCCAATCTTTCTCCGGCGAAGCAACCTCCACACGAAGTCGCACCTAATCCCTTTGTATTCTCCCCCGCGACGCCGTATCCGATGATGATGCCACCTCCTCCTTCCATCGAGTACGAGAAAGCCGCCACGATTCACAACGACGTTAATCTGAGGAAGGAGACTCTGAGGCTCCAACCCGACCCGAACAACCCGGGTCAACTCCTTGTCTCCTTCTCGTTTGATGTAACCGTTCCCGGAAGGTTTGGTTTACACTTTTTCCACGTGCCTTTTATTGATTGGTTCTTGTATTAATTTTCTAAAGTTTAAATCTTTTTGGATGTTTTAGGATTACTATCGTTTTCTTTGCGGAAGAAGACTCAGAGTTTCATCTCACAGCAACAAAGAAAGACACTTTGCCACCAATCACTTTTGATTTTGAAAAAGGAGGACTTGGTCAGAAGTATGTACAACCATCTGGAACTGGTATAGACTTCTCAGTGTTTGAAGATTCCGAGCTGTTCAAGGAGGGGGAAACATGTATCTATCCACTCGCAATTAAGATGGAGGCGGTTCACTCTGAAGAAGTAAAGTCTGGATCAAAGCAGATTACTCAAGTGACGTTTGTGAAGGAGAAAAGTGAGATCAAGCCATGTGTGAGGAAGCAGTTCCTATGGGTGAATGGGTCGAGATATGAGTTGCAAGATATCTATGGGATTGGGGAAACGGTTGATATTGATGCAAAAGAATGCGTTGTATGCTTGTCTGAACCACGCGATACCATTGTTCTTCCTTGCAGACACATGGTATTTAATCTTTACCTTTAGATATATATTTTCTTAAAGAAGCAACAGCAAATGGAAGTTGTGAGTTTTGAATCGGTTTCTATGTGTTTTTTTGTGTGCAGTGTATGTGTAGCGAATGTGCTAAGGCGTTAAGGTTTCAGAAAAATGAGTGTCCAGTTTGCAGACAACCTGCTGAGAGGCTTGTGGAGCTCGAGGGAAAACAGTAACATCAATGGAGATAAACAAGTTTAGTTAATAGCTGTATTTGATTTGTAATAATATGCATATGTTATAATCGTGAATATTATGTTTATCCAATCCTTCAATGTGTCTATTTTCTCTCTTTAAGTGGACATTTTAGTGCTTAAAGTGAGTAATAATAAAAACACACAAGCAGCTTCTTACTTAGTTTTAGGAGAGCCTGGCCAGGAGATGTGGTAGCCAAAGGACCAACTATGGCAAACACAGAAGGTATAGCTATTACATAGAGGTTCCATGAGCTCCTCTATGTAAGGTCTGTTGCGTCTAAACACAATCCGAGTAGTTTTGCATGAACTATAATAGAGACTGCTTAAGCCAAAATGAAACCGAAGGCAAGACCGTTGCCATTACTACTCGCACGTACCTGCAGGGGATAAAACTGCGAGATATTTTAAGATGGTGTGGGACATTTTTTTTTGTGTGTGGAGTGGACAATGCTAAAGGAACAGATATTATGAAGCCCGTAGAAGCCGAGTTTTACCACACTCTTTTCTATTTGAAATCCAGAGGCTACAGTGTTCTCTTAGCATCTCCTGACAAGGAGGTCGCCTCACAGTCCATACTTCGCTCTGTTGACTCGATTTGGCTTTCGACAAGCCTATTGGAACAAGGAAACCTTGACGAACTATCCAACATCTGCATTACCAACTTTGATTACAAGATTCACCCCAAGATTTGGAGGTATGTCTTTAAACATAGTATATTGTCAACTCTCCTTTGTTGTATTGTATTTCACATAATGTGTGTTTGTTTCAGGCTTTGGGGACGGTGAGATTAAAGATTGAGTTTCAGTCACGTGGACCGAAATGTGGAGGGACTTTTCAAGATCGAGCAGCGAGGCTCTTCTTACTTAAATTAACACCACTCGACAAGCTCCCAAAGAAATTTGTGGCCAAGAAAAAGTATGAATATAAATGGTGAATTCATGAGTCCTGTGGGCCTGTGTATTAACCTAAAGCCCATATACATGTCTTGGGCCTCGACATATTCTGTTGGGCCTGTTCGCTATCCTATATATTCACTATCGGGAAAGGCCGTTATGGCTGTTACAACAACAGACGAGCAGAGTGTGCAGAGTCTTGCGGCGACTTCGTCTTCTACGCGATCGAGCAGTGGTGATCTCGTGGACTTCTTCAGCTAGCTTCATTCTTCTTGTTCTCGTATCACATCGATACCTGTTACAAGCAAAGAGTAGAGTTAGTTTGTATCCGATTCATTGCTCTGTTGTAATCCTTCGCCGGAGGAGTTTTCCGGCGATCAGATAGTGAAAAGAGAGCACCGTCTCTCCCCAGACGTAGCGGTATTTACCGTGAACTGGGCAAACAAATCTCTTGTTTCTTTTCAGTTTATAGCACAACAAGATCGATCAAACGAAATCAAATCAACTTTGAATCGCAACAAGTGGTATCAGAGCTGTGGTTAGCTCCGCAGTTTCAAGATTCAAGAAGCGATTACATTCAAGAAGATTACGTCTACAGCAAGTAAGAAAGATCAGGTCAAGGTTCGAAACTTATCTGTTGTTTCCGTGTGTTTTGTTGAAGGCGTGCAAGCTTGGTGAGTGTTGAAGTATTCTTGGGAATTCTTGGTGTAGATCTCCATTGTTGTTTCTGCGTTTCTGATCAAAACTGCAGACACCATGGAACCTACAAAAGGTAAATTTGAAGTTGATAAGTTTGATGGACAAGGTGATTTCGGTATTTGGAAGCACAAGATGCTGTTTGCTCTGGAGATCTTGGGATTGGATTCAGTGCTAGAGGAAGAAGTACCTGAAACTGAAGACGAAGAAGCGGATGTGAAGGTTGATGCTTTAAGGCCTCAGAAGGATAAGCGTGTGAGGAGCTTAATCCAAATGAGCTTAAGCGATCAGATTATTAGGAAGGTAATGAAGGAAACTACAGCTCTTGGTATTTGGAAAGCTTTGGAGAGGGACTACCAGACAAAGTCTCTACCTAACCGTATCTACCTAAAGCAGAGATTTGCTAGTTACAAGATGGAGAGTGAAAAAAGCATTGAGCAAAACTTAGATATTTTTCTAAGATTGGTAAATGATCTCGAGAGTTTAGATATAAAGATCTCAGAAGAGGATCAGGCAATTCAAATTCTCACAGGTTTGCCTCCTAAGTATGAGCCTCTAGTTCATACGCTGAAGTATGGGAGTGGGAAGGATACCCTCACGGTTAATGATGTGGTGACTTCAGCATACGCAAAGGAAACTGAGCTTAGGGAACGTGGCTCTACAGGTAAGAACAAGGCTGAGGCAGAGGGTTTGTACGTGAGTGAAAGGGGTAGAGGTGAGCGGAGGAATAACTACAATTCTAGGAACCGTTCTAAAAGCAGGGGAAGGAGCTACTCTAACAACTCTAAGCCTAAGGAAAACAGAAGCAACAAAGGAGGTTGTTTTATCTGCGGCAAAGAAGGACATTGGAAACGTGAATGTCCAGAGAGAGGAAAGAATCGACCTTCAAGTTCAGCTAATGTGGCGTCAGTTAGAAAGGATCCTCTAATTCTAACAGCTAGTCTACAGGAAACAAGAAATGAGTGGGTAATGGACTCAGGAGCAAGTTTTCACATTACTCCGAATCAGGAAGTGTTGTTTGATCTTAAGGAAAGCAAAGGTGGGAAGGTTCTTATGGGAAACAACACGTTTAGTGAGATAATGGGAGTTGGAAAGATTCGTATTAAGAGACCAGATGGAGCTATTGTGGTACTTACAGACGTTAAGTATATGCCTACAATGGGAAGAAATCTTATTTCTTATGGTTGTTTGGAAAAGGCTGGATGCAACTACGTTGGTGGTGACTACTCAGTTAAGTTCTATAAGAATGGTTCAGAGGTTTTGTCTGGGAAGTATACAGATGGTTTGTACTACTTAGAAGGAACTGTTCTACAGGGAGAGAGTAACTTAGCAGGAACTACGGTTGATTCTACAAAGAAGTGGCACTCGAGGTTTGGTCATATCAGTCAGAAAGGGTTAGAGAACTTGGTTAAGTCTGGTTACTTGGACAGCAAGGATATTAAGAAGTTAGAATTCTGTGAAGACTGCGTGTTTGGAAAAGCTCACAAACAGAGTTTCAAGAAAGGGAAGCATACTTCTAAAGGGATTTTGGACTACGTACACTCAGACTTATGGGGTTCTCCTACAGTGATACCTAGTCTTGCAGAAAAGCAGTATTTTATTACATTCATTGATGACTACTCTCGGAAGGTATGGATCTATTTTCTCAAGACAAAGGATGAGGCATTTGATAAGTTCCAGGAGTGGAAAGTTGAAGTTGAGACTGAGACTGGTAAGAAGCTAAAGTGTTTGAGAACAGATAACGGGCTGGAATATTGCAACAACAGATTTGATAGTCACTGCAAAGAGTTTGGGATTAAAAGGCACAGAACATGCGCCTATACTCCTCAACAAAATGGCGTCTCAGAAAGGATGAATCGAACCATAATGGAGAAAGTACGGTGTATGTTAGCTGAGAGTGGAATGGAAGAAAGGTTTTGGGCAGAGGCTGCGTCTACGGCTGTCTACCTTATTAACAGGTCTCCTAGTTCAGCTATAGACTACAAGCTACCTGAGGAATTGTGGTCAGGATCTAAACCAGGAGTTAAACATCTAAGGAGGTTTGGTTCAGCAGCCTACGTTCATTTAACTCGAGCAAAGACAAGTCCTCGGGCTATTAAAGGCTACTTCGTAGGTTACCCTCAAGGAACTAAAGGGTTCAGGGTGTGGTTACCAGAGGAAGAAAAGTGCACAGTTAGTAGGAATGTTATCTTTCATGAAGAAGAGGTTTTCAAGGACAGTCTAAAGGAAGAGGTACCTAAGGAGCAGAAGGTTGAGTTCTATAAGGATAAAGGCAAAGGTCTGTTAAAGGAGGATAATAGGAAGGTGACGTTCAGCACAGATCTAGTTAGAGGACCATCTACGGGTAGGAATGATTCAGAAGCGTCTACGTCTAATTCTTAGGTTACAGATAGTACAGTTTCAGGTGGAGTTGTTTCAGATTCAGAGGAAAGTGTGTCAGTTCAGGGTTAGGAAGCTGAAGGGGAAACTACAGGGTCTGAGCAACAGGATTTGGATAATTACATCTTAGCTAGAGACAGAGTTCGTAGGGAAAGTAAGATGCCATCCAAATATGATGATTACGATGTTGTGGCTTACGCTTTGACAGCAGCACAGGACATCGAAATTGATGAACCTAAGAGCTATCAGGAGGCAGTGAGGTCTAAGGAATGGGAACTATGGAACACAGCGAGTAGAGAGGAGATGGATTCTCTGGATAAGAATGAGACTTGGGTTTTAGTCAAACGGCCAGAGAAAAAGAGAGTTATTGGTTGTAAGTGGGTCTACAAGAAGAAACCGGGTATTCCAGCGGTTGAGCTACCTAGGTACAAAGGCAGGTTAGTTGCTAAAGGTTACTCACAGGTTGAGGGAGTTGACTACAATGAAGTTTTCGCACCAGTGGTTAAGCATGTGTCTATAAGGTTCATCCTATCCTTAGTGGTTAATGAAGATTTATGTCTAGAGCAACTAGATGTAAAAACGGCATTCCTAAATGGTACTCTAGAGGAAGAGATTTTTATGGAACAACCAGAGGGATTTAAAGCTAAGGGTAAGGAAGACTTGGTGTGCCTATTAAAGAAGTCGTTGTATGGTTTGAAGCAGTCACCTAGGCAGTGGAATAAAAGGTTTGATGGATTCATGAAGGATCAGGGTTTCAGGCAGAGTCCGTATGATCAGTGTGTCTACATAAGTGGTTCAGATCTATCTACAAGGGTTTATCTTCTAATCTACGTTGATGATATGTTGGTTGTTTCTAAGAGTATGGAGGTGGTTCAGAATCTTAAGGACAGACTAAACAGTGAGTTTGAGATGAAGGATCTAGGAGCAGCTACAAGAATCTTAGGAATGGATATTCAAAGGAATCTTAAGGAAGGTACTCTTAAGCTGTCTCAAGGAAAGTACCTAAAGCAGGTTCTCTCAACTTTCAACATGAGTGATTCCAAAGCAGTGACTACACCGTTGGGTTCTCATTTTAGACTAAAGGGTTTGGACGAGAAGGAAACTAAGATTGAAGCTCCATACATGATTGATATTCCTTACGCAAGCGCAGTGGGAAGTCTCATGTATGCCATGGTCGGTTCTAGACCAGACATAGCTCATGCAGTTGGAGTGGTTAGCAGGTTTATGGGAAATCCAGGAAGGGAGCATTGGGAAGCAGTTAAGTGGATTTTACGTTATATCAGAGGGACTACTAACTACGGATTATGGTTTAAAAAGGGTAATGGTTTTAAAGTTGAAGGGTTTTGTGACGCAGATTATGCAACAGATCTCGACAGGAGGAGATCTGTTACAGGTTATTTGTTTCAAGTCGGAGGTAATACAATTAGTTGGAGATCGGGGCTCCAACCTATAGTGGCTTTATCAACTACAGAATCAGAATATATGTCTTTAAATGAATCAGCAAAAGAAGCATTATGGTTCAAAGGTTTATACGAAGACTTAGGCTACAATCAAGGTGCAGTTCAGATTAATTGTGATTCACAGTCAGCTATTTTCTTAGCAAAGAATGGAGGTTATCATGAACGAACTAAGCATATACATACGAAGTACAATTTTATACGTGATGTTGTTGCTAACGGTTCAGTTTCAGTGGTGAAGATTCATACTTCTGTCAACCTAGCGGATATCCTAACTAAGTCGGTACCTGGAAGGACACTGGAGAAGGCCTTGGTGTCCATCAAGGTTCTTGACTAGTCGCGTCGTATCTCCGCTGTGAGTGTAGCTTTGATA